TGGGGTCATAGGGACATTGGGGGCAATGGCCGCTGCCGCAATCACGTGACTTTGCTAACAGCGGAGCCATTTTGCATTGTCACGTGACTGGGTACTTCCGGGGTCACATGCCAATTGGGCGGGGGGGGGGGCACCATCACGTGACAATGGTGACAATGGCGATAGTGGGCGCTTCCAGCGTCACGTGACAATGACAGCAGGCGCTTTCCGGTGTCACGTGATAATAGCAACACGCACTTTGCTGTGTCACGTGACTGGGGGGGCACAATTCTGACAATAAGGGCGGGGTGTTTGCTTTACGGCGTCACGTGACGACGTGACGGCGTGGCTACTTCCGCTGTCACGTGAGCGCGCGGTGACGTCCCGCAGGTGGAAGGAAGCGTCGCTCCGGCAACAGCAGCGCTACAGCGCCAGCCTGCGCCTCCTCCGCCGGATCTACGAGCGTCAGTAAAGCCCCGCCCCTTCCGCCCGGCCCAGCCAATCAGCAGGGCCCTTTCCTGCCTCGTCCCGCCTTCGCGCTTTCTCGCAGCCAATAGGCGCCATTCCCTCTCCCCCTTCCCTCCCCCCGCCCCGATGTCAATGAGAAGCTCGACGCGGATTGGCTGACGCTCGAAGGAAGGGGGCGTGGCCTGGAGTTTTATTTTTCATTCATAAAAAAAGGCAGCGCGGGAACGAATCCTATTGGTGGAAATGGAGAGGGAGGAATTATTAATTATTAATGTTAATTACACTATTAATTAATCAATTAACTACGTACACACATCAGATACGTCCCATAGTATTAAGGACCCCTCATCATTAATTAACCCCCCCTCATATGGATGTAAATATATGCGTTAAAAACCTTCTCAATATTAATGTCCCCCAGTATGAATAAAATCAATCCCACTAATTAACTCTATCCATGAATACTCATTAATATTAAGCACTTCCCCTATATTAAGGTCCCTCATATTAATGACCAACCCCCAGTATTAATTAGAGGCCATTACCAATAATAAACCCCCTCATGAATATTAATGAGCCTCAATATTAATGACCCCCCCCACACACACATATTAATATTAAGGGCCTGTCCCCAAATTAATGACCCCCCCCCAATTACGGATCCCCTCCATTATTAATAACCCCCCTCCTCCATTATTAATACCCCCCCATTATTAATAACCCCCATCCTAATTAATACTCCTCATTATTAATAATCCTCTTCCTCCATTATTAATAACCCCCCCCATTATTAATAATCCTCTTCTTCCATTATTAATAATCCCCCCGTTATTAATAATCCTCTCCATTATTAATACCCCCCATTATTAATAATCCCCTCCCCCCATTAATAACCCCATTATTAATAACCCTCCATCCTTATTAATACTCCCCATTATTAGCCCCCTCATTATTATTAATTCCCTCCCCCCATTATTAATACCCCCCCATTATTAGTAATCATCTCCCCCATTATTAATAACCCCCCATTATTAATAATCCTCTGCTTCCATTATTAATAACCCTCCCATTATTAATAATCCTGTTCCTCCATTATTAACTCCCCCATTATTAATACCCCCCATTATTAATAACCCCCATCCTTATTAATACTCCCCATTATTAATACCCCGTTATTAATAATCCTGTTACTCCATTATTAACTCCTCCATTATTAATTCCCCCCATTATTAATAATTCTCCTCATTATTAATAACCCATTATTAATAATCCTCTCCCTCCACTATTAATAACCCCATTATTACTACCCCCCATTATTAATACCCCCCCATTATCAATAATCCCCTTCCCCATTATTAATATCCTCGCATTATTAATACCTCCCCATTATTAATAATCCCCCATCCTTATTAATACTCCCCCTTATTAATACCCCCCCATTATTAATAACCAGCCCCCCCATTATTAATAATCCCCTTCCCCATTATTAATATCCCCGCATTATTAATACCTCCCCATTATTAATAATCCCCTCCCCCCATTATTAATACCTCCCCATTATTAATAATCCCCTCCCTCCATAATTAACAACCCCGCCCATAATTAATACCCCCCATAATTAATACTCCCCCCCCATACCTGCAGTCTCCTCCAGGTCTTCTTCCTTGGGGGGGGGGGGGTTGGTGGGGGGGGGTTATAATAAATTTGGGGGGGGGCTATTAATAATGGGGGGGGGGGTCTTAAATTAATTTGGG